ATACATACATATATATATATATATATATATATATATATATATATATATATTTATAAAAGTTGAGTAACATTGTGAAAAGTTATTTCAAACACATAATAAACATACGTATAAACTGGTAGCATAATGGGCAACGGATGCGCCAGATGCGGTGCACTTTGCAGCATCGAGGCACGTTCGTGAAGTGCCTCTTTTACCATTCTGTACTGTTCGACGTCTAACTGCATAATCGCTTTCTGCAAGTATCGTACGCCACCGTGGATTAATTTTGTGCTTCGAGAAGAAGTACCAGATGCAAAATCGTCTGCTTCGACTAACGCCGTCTTTAAACCTTTAAGAGAGAAAAAAAACGAAAATGATCCAATTTTACTTGAATGGGTGAAAAGCCAGCAATAATGAAACAAACGTACCTCGTGTGCAAGCGTCTAGAGCACATCCTGCTCCTGTCGCACCACCTCCAATTATCAATACATCATAGTCTTGTGACTTCAAAGTTTTTACTTGATCCTCCCGTGTGGGTAAAGTTCTTCGAGGTGGTCTTGGTTTTCCCTTTTCGGCGTGCACCTGCAACCAAACATTATAGTATCAAGAACACTGTTACACACAAAATATAGATATATGATCAAAAGTTAAAAATAGACCAGTGCGATGAAAGATACAAAAGACACTGTGATATACATAATAATAATAAGAAATATATTAGATGTAGAAATAAGTTTTTTTCCGATTTTTCAGTAAAATCAAAACTTTATTTAAAATGAACTAAAAAAGTTCAATCATCGAAATAATGTTCATTATTATTGATGACCTTACACAGAACATTTACACCCACTTTCCTTCCTCTCAGCTTCTTTATTTGATGTAAACAATGCGAAATGGCTTTTTCCATTATTCTGGATTATTTTGCGAATTTCTTTTAAATTTATATTGCGTTTTTGTTTTGAACGATTGTACTAATTAGGTAAAATCAGAGTCGGAAAGAATTCATTTCTACATCTAATACATATACGCGTGCAATCTCCAAGAAATCTCGGCATTTTCAATCGTAGCATTAACACGACAACATCGCGATGTGCTTACTGTAGTATCTGATAAGAGAAAATAGGAAGTGAGAGTACCGGCACCCACGGCACTCGCTCCTGCTACAAGTAATCTGAGGGACATCCTCGATGGCGCAACTCCTCGCAATCTTCTTTAGAAAATCTGAAAAAAAATTTGTTATAAAATACACCTAATAAAAAATTAGAATATTACATAGAATATTGTATATTTTTACATCATGACTGTGATTATGAACACAGCGGCGACGCTGTTTTAGCTGTTTCAAAGCAACTGGAGCAATTGACAACTAAAGGTTAATATTTATAATATTTATATTTATATCAATATTTATTGATGGTGGAAAACGAGTTAATATATGTATATACTAAATAATGAAGAAAAGTATAATTATTTATCAAAATAATAGGAACTTATATAAAGCAATTAACAGATTTCAAAGTATTTGCACGATAATAAGAAAAAATAAGCAATATTTTGATTTAATAATATTATCTGTGACTTATTTAAACGAATATTTTTACTCATCATGAGATGTCATGAGAAGTTTCAAAATTTTTAACAAATTCCTTGACTACACCACAATTACATGCTAATACTTTCAAATCTGTTAGTTGCTTTATATAAGTGGTGATATAAATAGAATGATATAAGTGGATTGATATAAATATAAATATTATAAATATTAATTGCTCCAGTTGCTTTGAAATAGCCAAAACAGCATTTCCGCTGTATTCATAACCAGTCATGATGTAAAAATATGTAAAGTCGGAACACGCCGACTCGATATGCCTTGACACCCGTGCAAGTTTGTGTATTAAGGCATTCCTGTGACAGAGTATACATTTGAGCACTTAATGTCATAAAATAATTTTATGACATAGAATGTTATATATATTCATATAAAGTGAGATACTTGTTGAGAAATTACCATCTCAAATTATTCGTAGACATATCGAAAGCTATGAAGATCACCTTTTATTCGAAACATTCCATACTTTTTTACAGAAATCAAAAAAGCATTTAATTATATTTTAAAGATTAATAATAAGTAGAAAAAGTCTAAACTAGGACACTTTGTGCTATCTCTCTCTCTCTCTCTCTCTCTCTGCCTCTCTGTGCCTTTATTATACGTGATCTATAAATAATTTAAAGATTGTGCATTGTATCGTGAAATACCCGACATAAAGCTGAAGCTTATTATTATAATTATTACTACCAACACCACCACTACAACCACTGGTCTGTTCGATAACCTTGATAATAGTTTGAAGCACGTGGGATTACGTAAATAACATTCGGTGTTACACCCACGCGGAGCGATAAACGCGGTCATGTAATCGGCTCGTGTAACAGGATTACGTATCAATGATTAGTCATTACTTGACGGAATGCTCTATCTTGATCTTTAAATCTTATATCGGATATGAATTACATTCTTTGACTGAAAAAGAGAAAACTATCGACGTATAATTCACATGAGGATACGTTATTCTAGAGCTTCTAGTAGTTTTCGTACAGATTTATAGAAAGAAAATATAGTAAGAAAATTATATACCGTAAAGTTCGCTGCGGGGCTAGCTGGCATTTGGCCCAGGGTCAAAATTTCGTAAAACAAGTATCAAACGCGTACAATGCCGGACTCGATGTTGTGCAAACGATTGTATTTAAAATAGCGTTCGTCAAGTTCGTAAGTATATTCGTGCCAAGCTCGCTTGGAGATGTCTGCTCGCATCAACCACACATTACGCATCGCTCATATACCTAACTATTACGTGTCATTTAATTCTCATCCTTTTTCTATTCACTTACATGATATCGAGCTCGATATCAAATCTATTGTGTCACGAATTTATCTTTATTTCTCATTGACATCCCGCTACGAGACATATTTTGGATTAGTTTTTCTTATTCTTTTCCTTTTTGGTTAATTTTAGCGTTTGATCAGCGAATCAATTAAGAAATTCGAAAATAAGATACAAGTTTGCTCGCTAAATATTAACAAGTGTAAAAGTTGCATCGTCGCAGTAACAAGTGACTGTTAGTGCAGTTAACGATATTGCTGCAAGCAGTGAGACACACTTGAAAAAATAGAATCTAAATTAAAGCTGATTTTATGGGTTTCACGAATACTCACTGCTAGAACCAGCTAGAAAGACGTGACTTTCGTTTACACTGAACGTATGTTGCGATACTAGGATTTCACGGAGCACATAACTTCAAACAGCCACCAATAGTAAACACGGAGCGTCAATAACGACAACCGATGGCCAACAGCAATTGACAGTAACTGAGATACGCCGAGATCAGCTGCTAGAATCGAAGGGCAATAGTAAAAATGCGAGAGCCATGCGAGAATACGATTATATTACAAATGGTAGCCAGTAGAGCCCGTTAGTTATCAAGCCCGTGAGACGATCATTTCTTTGCAGATTCCTTCGTTAACGACTTCATTGCAGAGAAAATAGAAAACTGTAAATGGATATGCAGATACCAAAAAAAAAATATATATACAGGGTGCGTCAGCTAAATCCGGACAAAACAAATTGTTTATTAAAACACTCTTTAGACTCAGAAAAAACTTGAAATTATGAAATATTTTTTGTACGTTGCTTAAGGGATCCTCTCTGAGTACAATTATTCTATATAACCCCCGTTTGCTGCGATCACTGCTTCAATCCTTTGCCTGAAGTGCGAGCACGCTCTTTTCAACTGCTCCTTGTGTAAATCAACGAATGCTGCTTCAATAGCGGCTTGAAGAGTTGCCCACAGTTGGGGGTGCCCTGGGACTTGTTAGACAATCTTTCAATAACGCCCCAAACATAATAATCTAGGGGGTTTAAATCCGGACTATTAGGAGGCCAGAATTCCTTGGACCAAAACGCATCCACGTTATCGTTAAGCCAATTTTGCACTAATTGGCTTGTGTGAGCCGGTGCACCGTCTTGTTGAAAAATGTACGGCCTCCCGGAGGCCGTAGTTTCCATCCATGGCTTTATTACAGTCCTCAAAATCCGGAGGTAAACCTCTTTCGTGATGGTTTCTCCCTTTTTAAAGAAATACGGCGGCATGACATCACCCTCATTAGAGACGACGCTTAAGACGTGACCATTGGCTGGAAACTTCGTCCTGCCTATTATGGGGACATCCTCGGAATCACGGGCGAGCCAACGGTCGTTCCTTCGACTCACTTTTGTCAATCTCGAGTACTTGAAGAACCGAATAATTTCGATCGGCGAACGTCCGGCGCGAAGCGCTTCAATTATCGCCGCTCTTCGATTGTATTCCGCACTTGATTTTATTGACTCGGACATTTTAAAGGTTATACACGTTTTACACAAACATTTGACTAACGCGAACATTAACAATCATTTGTTCCTAAATTCACACGTAGCAAGGAATTCTAATTTAATTTTGTCCAGATTTAGCTGACGCACCCTGTATATATATACACAATGTGTTGAAACAAAATAATACTCTTTGTTATTCAACAGCAAATATCTGTACAAGTTAGGCACTCGCGTACATCACAAATCATTATTCGTACAAAGATTCATGTACATAAGTTTCGTATTCTATATCATTATATGGATCAAAAACTTAACTCTAGAAACATACACTGTCATGTATGATTAACATCTATAAAATATATCTATATGTATGTGTACACGTATGTTGTGTATACATATATAAGAATATCCGGAAAGATGTGCGGTTTTTAGATATAGAAGAAAAAGCAAATAAATCTCAATGTGACATCAGCTTTGCTGCAAATAACCATTTGATTTATACGCAATAAAAGATAAATCCATTTTAACTTAAAAAAATATTGTTTTAACAAATTTATTTCTACTTCTTTTGTAAAATTGTATCGTTATTTATTGTTTTTTTTATTTCCAAAAATGCTACTCAACCGACAAAAAGGATAATATGTACTGTATATGAGGAAGACATGCTAGCTGGAAGAAAGTTGTTCAAAAGTAATTTATCAAATTTAAAGTTGGAAATTTGAATATCACAACAATGAGAAAAACTCGAATAGACTATCCATTACTGATGACGATCAAATTATAGCTGTGATAAATGAAAATCCACGTTACACTTAGAAAGTTATCCGACATTTAAAATGTTTCCAAAAGTACTATTTACAAACATCTGACAAAGTTGGAAACATAAAAAATACTGTAAAAACCGCACAAACTTTCCGAATATATATATAATAGTAACATGTAAACATAATACAAATGCAGAGAATGTACGATGATTAGATGTACAATAAATAGCAAAAATCGTTGGAGAGAGAGAATCAAGACACACGCAGTATACGCTAAAACCTACTATTTACACAAGTTGTTATATCAAAATATACGATCATTCTTATTACACAATATTAGTGATCCTAATAAGAGAGAAGTACGTTCCAATTAGAAATAAACATCACGTCGGAACTTTGTCGAAGATTTACACTTCATCGGAAGCGAGTGCTTCTTTGCCATCGGGAGAAGCTGATTTCTCTTTTCTCGCTTCTTCCTTCATTTGAAGAGCGACCGCTGATTCCAAGACTCGTATCCTTCCTTCGTGTTTTACAATTACGGCTTTCAATTTTCTTATTTCTTCTCTGCATTCCTTCAACAATTCCTCCTGCAATAGCAAGTAAAAAAGGAGAAATTATTCAGTTGTACAAAAGCCAACATGGAATGGATAAAATCTTGATACATACACAAGCTCCTGGCGAAACTTGCGTGGTATTTTGTGCAGCGTTAGACGCAACTTTGGCGCCTTTATTCAATATATTAGATTTCTTTTGTACTTTAAGTTCATTCTTAGATGCGGATGGCTGATAGCCGTCCCTGAGAGATATCAATACAGGCTCTGCATCGGTACCGGACTCCCATTCTTCCGCCGAAATGGCAGCGGTATCACCAGCAGTATCGGGATATAGATCTTCTTGGAAGAGCTCAGACTGGAACATAATTTATATACTTGTTACTAATTCACTTTTAGACTCAACTTTCATATTTTTCGTTTTCTACTTTTCAAACTAAAGCAACACTCTTACCTTTCTCGGCACTGTCATAGATACTACTTGGCAAAAACCTGAATTGTTTAATCGATAGAATCTTGTTATTTCACAGCTATTAACGTCACAGCCTCGTTTTGGCATCATTCCTATACCTCGTTGAGGATCGGGAGTTTGAAAAGTATTGATATAGTGAACAAATGGCGGTTCGGGTGTAATTTCAAAATATCGGATCACAGAATCACCCTTGCCGCACAAGTATACTAAATTTGTATCGGGATCGTACAGAGGGAACATAACTCCGTTACTCGTGTCTAATTCTACCATAACTATAGGCTCGCCCAACATATCGGGAGCACGTAATGAATATTGTCTTTCCGACATTTTACTGAAACCAGTCGTAAAGATCAAGCCACCCCTGAAAAATATAATATAAGTAATTTATCAATTTATCCAGAATCATTCAATGTCAATATATTATATTGTATAATGCCGTAGCGCATCTTTTGCGCGCGCACATGTCTTATGCTAAAGAAATAATTGTTTATATATTCTTATGCAAAATGAAGAAATTAATCATCAAAACTTTACTACATCCACCTTATTACCACCATATAAATCAAAATAAATATATCACAATAATGCTTGCATCGTCTTTTATCATAAAAGATACATGTGTTGTAACTGTTACAATTACTAGTATAAACTTCTAATTAAACATAATGGTCTAGCGAATGTTTCTTTTTTTCACAAGCACAATTAATATGATATAATATTGTTTTATAAGGATATAACTATGTCTCTACCAAAGAATTAATAATCGTTGGTGCAACTTTGGTAAAAATTACTTACTGCGTTCTAAAATTTACAGTGTTACAGTTTGAATTAATAATTTGGCGTAAAATACTTACTGCAACATCTATGGAGAATTATAGAGCACACATCTTGATATTCGTATTTATTAAGTCGGCATCTTCGTCATGTCGAAAATTCAGACTGCTGATTTTCCATTAATAATTACAGAGAATCTCGCACTACACAAACCGGAAATATAAAGTCATAAAAAGAAATGTACTTTTTATGTGTGTATACAAATATGTTTCTTTTATAAAACATTCGCGAAAAGAAACACAAAATAATATTACGATATATGTTGACGCAAGTACATAGTCGCATCAAATTATTAGTCGAAAATGATATCACAAAAAGCAAGAGAGAAGATAATGTAGAAAGAAAGAGCTCGAATATTGTGGCTACATTAAAGAAATCATCTATTGGCAATTTCTGCCGCAGTATAATTTGTCTGTATTGTATTGTCACTGATATTTTTTTTGTGTAAAAAGGTGGATGTATATCATTTGATGATTACATTTTCTAAATACTTTTACACGTTCTTTTGTCAATAATTTTTCAGCGACATAGTAATGGTATAAAAAGTAAGAGTTGTGACTCTTTATACAATAGTACTCACATTCCTTCATTTATTTTCTACATCCACACTCATGCAAATTCACTCGTTAGCGGTGTGTAAAAAATACACTCTTCCTCTTATAAAATTATAATAAGATATAAGAATATTATTGTAATATGTCAAATACTAGCAACGCGGCAAGCGGAATTATATCGTGTTTATATGAGAATATTAAAGAAATCATGAAAAACATGTTATCAAACATGTTATATTAATTACGCATTTACATCAAACACAATGTGTGATAAAGTGAGAAATCGAAAATTTAACATATTTATATTTGTAAAAATAATGATACAATAATGTATAATTCGGCAACATATTTGATTTTTTGAAATTGAAACGATGTAACTGAGCATGTAATAAATATTGATGCAACTGAAATGAGATGCAACTAAAAATCAATATCTAATATAGTTGTCGATAAAAAATTAGACTTGGACATTATTATATATCTTGTCAGGAAAACATATCATGTTTTTAGTTTACACATTCACAGTTATGATACTTGGTGAATTAACATTTGAAAAATTTCATCTACATGTTTTTCAATATATCTCTACACAGATACACACATGTACGTATGCGCGCGCGCATTTTCCTTTCAATTACATCAATCTTATATGCATAACAATAAAAAAGAAGCGACAAGATGCTGAGAGAAGTGTATAACATTAAGAGCACATACCTAAGGAAGATGGCACGAGTAGCTTTGCTTCCTTCATGCGCTATAGCTTCTTCTAACACTTCACCCGATCGTGGATCCAAAATTCTAATCTTTTTATCTTTACAAGTAGTAACTAATCGAGATCCATCCCAGTTCCAACATGCGGAATAAACCACATCTGGATGACAATCAATGCGGACTAAAGCTTCTCCTGTACCCACATTCCAAATAATAACAAGATTGTCCGAGCCAGCTGTGAGCAACACATTCAATGCAGATGGATGCCATAGCACTAAACCAACTCTGCGTTGATGCAATTGTAGATCTACTATCGATTCAGTCAACGTTCTAGAAATACCCCCATCAGGTATCTGCCATACTTTGACAACACAATCTTCGGAACCAGAAGCTATGACGTTATCATTATGAGGACACCATGCAATATCTAATACAGGTCCTTTGTGTCCACCTACTAGAGGATAGTCTGCTGATATTCTTCCTACCTACAAACGTTTTACAATAGAAATTTACAATAGGAACTATCCATCGTCAATATGAAGATTTTAAAACAAATAACAGATACTAGACTACGAGTTACTAGGAAAATATGTACTGCACAAAGAAAATTTTTCTTCGTTAATCTAACAAAGCAATGTATGTGATAAATACTGAGCTGATACAAAGATACAGAGCTTAAATGCATAGCATATACTTCAGTCAAATTGTGTTATAAATAAAACAAGGAAAACTTGTAGCAAATTTGTTAGATGCACTAGTGCACTGTTATATGCATCAAAGTATCGTTCAGAAATCAATGTAAAAATATGTAAGCTTATTGAATTGATGAAATGCTCAGTATAATTCATTATTTTACTAAGATGACTTTTAGTAGGATACTTCTGAACATTTCAAACTGTTTATATTACATTTGTACAATTGGATAAATTAAAAAAAGTATGACAGACTTAAATCTGCGCTTAGTATGCACTAGTGTAGCCAATCGAATTCATGATTAATGATAACATTTAACTAGATCGCCAAATCAGGTCAAACAAATAGGTATTTAAGAAATGCAAAAGAGCTCACCTTATTGTGCGGCAAGACTATGAAGGCACCGCCACCCGCCGATTCTACGATAATGGCGAGAAATTTCGGATTTACGGCACAAAACGTAGAGTCCCACGACGATTTGGACACTCTAATATTATCGTAACATTGTTCACGTTTCAGGGGGGTTCCGTACACGTGGCGAAACTTGCTTGTGCGTACCACGCGAAAAGACATGTCTGCACCTGTTTTCAATTACAAAGCAGATGTGAGATAGAAAAACCGATCAAGTATCTGTAAGGAGTATCTCGCTACGTATGATTCATTTATTATAGTTATTTTAATAAATGATCGGCACGTATGTCCGCTACGCGACTGCGGGAGTGGGCGTCGCGTGGAACATTTCCATTTTATAAATAGATTCCTCACTCTTCACAGTCTCATTCAAAACGAAGCAAGATGACCGAAATAAGAATACATTTCAAACGTTGGTCACTTTTCCACACACACATATATATTAACACTTTTAGCTTATTTAGTGTGTGCGCACTGACATATGGTAACAGCTTTATCGATTATCGCGACGAACGTACGAAGAAAACGTTTCCTACACGCTCCTTACATGGTGCATCGAAAAATGATTTTGATTTACCGAAATAGACTCTCGCGCGCGCGCGCGCGCGTGTGTGTGTGTGTGTGTGTGTGTGTGTGTGGCTGTGGCCGCGCCCGCGCCGTGCATAGCAAGAACGCGAGATCCATGATTCAGAGTAATTCAAAATAATATACACGTATCATCTACTCACGATACATATGTTAACGCAGTCGAGCTTCCTTTTTTCAATTTATACAAAATTTATACAAAATATTGAATATAGCGGTGAAATTTCAATCTACCTCAAATTACACGCTCAATTGCATGAGCAATGCAAACTGGGGAAACCGATAAAAACTATTGTTATCATGGTGTTATCTCATTCTGGAATATGACGCATTCTCAACAAGTGTTAATCATTGTTGACGCTGAAGAATAATCGACAGGAAACAAATGAAAACCACATTCCACTACATCGTTTATATGGCTAAACGTAACTCGATCGGACAACCAATTGACGTAGCGACGTCAGAAACACGAGGCTCACTCGTTTAAGAATACCTTATTTGGGAAATGCACACCCTGCTGATTCGATCGACACCCTCATGCAATATTGCTACGCCTATCATCGGTTAATCTCGGTCGAATTTTCGGTCTTTTCCTCTTTTTTTTCATTCTCTGTCTTTCTTAAGCGCGCCAACCGCTGCATGTTTCTTTTACGATTTTGTTTCATTCTTACCGTCAACGTTCTTATCAAATACGCGAATTACCGATACAAGCCATAATGTATAAAATTCTTATAAAGTCATGTAAATAAGTTGCGCACTATTTTTTCACCAATTACATGCATAAAACAAAACTTACAGATTAATTTTTCTTGTTGTGACAGAAAATGCACACTTTTGGAAAAGAAGTCTTTTCCCCGCACCCTAACCACGAGCGCTGACGAGGATGATGAAAGACACTAATAAAATGCTATTGAAGATCGACAACCTCATGAATCTTACATGATGCGAGAGATCACTGCGCCCTCTCAATATTGCAACCAAAATAACAAAATTTGCACTACTTCGTTGTCTTAAGCCTGTATCAGACTATGCAACTTGTTGCAGCAATTTGCAAGGATAAATCTGAGTAAGGCCGGCGTCACATAGAACCCGTAATCCGTAATCCGCACCGAAAGTCCGCAAAAGTTACTAGGGATTGCGTCCGTAACGTTACGTGTGTTTTATCTCCTTGTGTCCCATGGAGCCGTAATTCCATGAAATTTCCGTAAAAGTTACTAAAAGTTACTAGTTGTTACTAGTAATGCTTTTTTTAATTTTATTTATTTAACTAAATTTGACGATTTAATTAAAATTTTTGTTAAAATTATAATATATTCTGTAGTTTTCTTATAAATAAAATACAAATAAACAATTATAATCTGTTAAATAAAAAATAGTAATACCGTTACGTGTGTATTTACGGCTCCATGGGACACAAGGAGAAAAAACACACGTAACGTTACGGACGCAATCCCTAGTAACTTTTGCGGACTTCCGGTGCGGATTACGGATTACGGG